CCTTTATTAAACAAAATAGCAAAATGTGAGGCTATTATTTCTTGATGTATCCTCCGTCTGAGTCTACACCCATCTCTTTAACCCTTCCTAAAGAATGTTGCACTCTCTGATTTACATATCAAACTAGCAGTTTTTGCATCCTCCTAGTGTGGCACTGAAGGATAAGCACTGAACTGCTAACCACGAGGTCTGCAGTTCGAACTCACCAGCCGCTCCTTGCAAACCGTATACAGGGTTGCTATGAGTTGGAACCAACTTGAAGTCACTTAACAAAAACAGAGATTCAAATCATTTTCCTTTGAATTGTTTATTGAGTTTGGGGAGCAAAAAGAAATCTAAAGGGGCAAGATCAAGGCTGTAGGATAGATGAAGTAAGGTTTTCCAACAAAGTTTGCGTAGGACAGCCCTTGCTACCTACCCTCAAAGAATGAACAGGTACATTGCCACGACAGAATACAGTTCCTCATTGCAACTTTCCTGACCTTTCTTCTCACCAGTGCAGTTTTCTGTTTTCTTCAACCTTATTCATAATAAACCCCCATAATCGTCCTATACCCTTCAAGAGTATTTACTCAAGATTACTTTTTTGGAATTCCCAAAAACTGGTTGTAACTTGAGCTGACCTCTCTGCTCTGCGCTGAATTTAACTGGCCCAGCAGATCCCCTTAGGAAACCACTGTTTTGATTGGACACTTTTTTCCTACCGGAAGGCACCCCGGTGAGACTGAAGTATGTTATTGAGAGAGCTTGTCTGCAGCCATCCATGGATTAAACACATTTTGTTTGGAATAAACCCATGCATGTATGAGCTCAAACCTTGGTAGCAATACTTTTTTTACTTACCCTCATATACTAATGTTATTAACATATAGATAAAAAATATAGAACTTGTATCTGTACCCTCGAGTGGTTTTTTAGGACCATTATTTTCTTCCTAGGTAAACTGTATCATATATGTATATTTTTCATTACAGTGAGTGATATAATTTCTAGAACAAGCGTGGTGGGAACGGTGAGCATTAGCAGTAAAGTGAAATTGTTAGTCTACTCCATAATTCCTTTGAATTGCATATGATTGTGTAACTTTCTCTTTCTGCTTCTACCCTAAAACAGGTAATCAGATCCTGTCCCTGGGGAGCCTCTCAAAAGATCAGATTTATCCAATGAAACTCAAGGGCATCTCCATCTGCTATTCGGCTCTCAAATCTGCCTTGTGTGGCAATTATGTCAGCTTTGGCGTCTTCAAGTTGTATGGGGACAACCATTTTGACAGTGTACTCCAGGCCTTTGTCAAAATGCTGCTGTCAGTGTCCCACTGTGACTTGCTAGTAAGCACTCACGTGTCATGGGAATCTTGGGGTAAAATATGAAGTAACACCACCACAGGCTTGGAATTGTTATAATGAATTCCAGGGAATTACAATCGCACCAGAATATCATATGTTTTAAAACAGCACACTTGATTTAACATCCAGAATTTGGACAACTACAGTGACTGCATTTATATAATTAAATGTGTATTTTAGAAAGCTGCAGCTACTACCTTCTGACAGATTGGTCAGCCAGTGTGCTCCAGGTTCTGCATCTAGAGAAAATGTAATTAGCAATTTCAACTAATTGCTTACAATTATACTCATAATTCAGAAAAGTATTCCCTGGAGCAGAAAATACAGGAATGACTGCAGAATCTTCCCCTTCGATGCTACCCTTTCTCCTCCCCCTGCTACTTGGCCTTTGTCTCCATTAGAATTGTGGTGTGGTGGACAGATGCTGAACTGAAAGTTGAGCAACCTGGTGTATGATCTCAGCTCTGCCACTCACTAATCATTTCCCTTAAATAAATCACCTTCTCTATTTCTCCAGGCTTCAATTTCCTCACCTTTAAAATGAAGAAATTAAACTAAGTGATCTCTAGGTCCCTTTTCTGCTGTACTATCTAGTTTCTGTAATTTATTTCATTGGTTTTTTTCTAACTTTGAGGCCCATCAGAATCATCTGGAGTACTTGTTAGAAATTCACATTTCCAGACTCCTCCACTGAGCTATGTCATTATCAGAATTTTTTTTTCAATATCTCTGCCTGATTACACAGAAACCAATATATGCCTAATATGGTTGCAGTAAGTCATGCAGAGTCTTAGTCCAAGCTTCCCCACCTACTCCCTATCTTTCCAGTCAGTCTATCTAAGAAATGCCCCTTGGCCTTCTCATGAGCTTGTGGCACCCTCTCCCACCTTCCTAAACTAGTAATAGTAGACCCACATCTCAAGACAAATTGTTAAGCCTTGTAGACTGGAATGTGTAGAGAAGGCTATGCCTGTGTGATTGAAATTACAAAGTAGAAACCTGAGTCAGTCTAGCCATGTGTTACTACTGCTTCATGGATGGAACTTTTCTCTACACTGGAGGCCTACCAAGAAAACCAGTGTTCTACTCATTGCTTTTCTAATAGACAGGCAAAACTAGTTCAGCAATTCGCAAACTTTAATGTGCATGTTGTTGTTGTTGAGTCCGTTCTGACTCATAGCCAACCCTGTATGGGGTTTCCGAAGAGCAGCTGGTGAGCTTCAACCATCAACCTTAGGGTTCTCTTAATGTAAATGTTTTAAATGCGTTTTTGGGGATCCAGGAAACTACATTTTTTTATAAGCACCCAAAGTGATTCTTAGGGAGTTGTTCTTAATCTCACTCTAAGAAATATAGTTCTGGTCTCTCTCTCTTAAGAATGTTGTACTTCTTTAATACTGGTTTGAGCTGCATTTGAGGTAGTCCCACTGATTTACTCAGGCACTTATCTTTTATCCATGACATATGGGAAATAGTAAGACTTTTACCAAATTATGATTTAGTTAGATGGATTGACATTGTGTTCATCAGACTATAATGACAAATCCTATATTAACAGCAAATTTCTTTCTGTTTAAAAAAAAAAGGGATTAAAAAGAGTGCCTAACCACTATTAAGCACTGTTCAATAATACAGTATTCGTACAGAAAAATAATCCAGTCTCCTAAATTTAATACTGCAGAGATAAACTTGTATTTAACCATAGCTGTGTAAGATGACATTGAAACACCATATGCACTATAGCTTCAAGTTAGGGTTTCTAGAGATCAAGAAATTCCTATTAAAAGGCCTTTAAATTCTGAATAGGGAATCATTATGTCATTTGTTCTATATATTTGTTGGCCTTGTGTTTAAGTTTGCAGTTTCCAATATTATAAATGGCAATGTTCAGTGGACTACTAACATGTCTGTGTTTTTCTTCCCTGTGGCTTGACATTTAGTCTATCTCTGTGTTATAGCAATATCGGAAACTGAGCCAGTCTTATTACCCACTTCTGGAATGTCTCACCCAGGACCACATGCACTTCATCACCAACTTGGAGCCTCCTGTACTCCTGTACGTTCTCACGTCCATCTCAGAGGGACTCACCTCTCTTGGTAAGGATCATGGAGAACACTGATATCAGAGGACAGACTGGACTGTGCTCTCAATGTATGTGCGGACTGAAATGAGCATCCTACAAAGGGGAAAAAGAGCATGTATGGTACGGTATTCTATACTATTGAAGTAGTTGTAATTTTATTTTAAAACTTACTATTCTGATATACAGTTTATTTTTTAATCAACTTTATTTAAATACAATTTACATATAGAAGAAAATCACAGATTTTTGAGTGAACTCTTTAGTGAGTCCTGGAAGATGTATACATAGTCATGTAACTACCTCAGTCAGTTTGCAGAACATTTGCATCAGCACACAAAGCTCCCTCAAGTCATCTTCCAGCTAATCCCTTCCCCCTTACCTCCAGCCAAGAACAGCCATGTCTACTTTCTCTCACTGTAGTTTTAGCCTTTTTCAAAATTTCCTATCAATGAAATCATTTGTATCTTTTGTGTCTGGCTTCTTTGTTTAACATAATACCTTTAGAATTCATCCATATTGCTCGGTGATTATTCATGCATAGGTCTTTATGTAGACAAGTTTTTATTTCTCTTGGGTAAATACCTAGAATTGAGATTTCTGGGTTATATGCTGTGATTATTTTAACTTTATGAGAACCCGCCAAACTTCTTTCCATGGTGACAACTATTTTCCTTCTACCAATAATATAGTGAGTTCCAGTTGTTCCACATCCTCAATTACAAGTGTTAATATAATTTTTGTTTACTTTTAACTATCCTAGTGGGGGTGAGGGAGCTCTGGTAGCGTAGTGGTTACGAATCGGGCTGCAAACCTTAAGGTCAGCAGTTCGAAACTACCAGCTGTTTCGCAGGAGAAAGACGAGGCTTTCTGCTCCCGTAAAGATTCACAGCCTCGGAAACCCAGTACAGGATCGCTATGAGTCGGTTCTGACTCCACGGCACATAACCATCAGTGGGGGTGAGGAGTCCTGGGGTGGCACTATAGGATAACTGGAAGGTCAGCAGTTCAAACCTACCAACCACTCCTCGAAAGCCCTATAATGGGTCCTTACACCCTCGGAAACCTTGTACAGGGTCGCTATGGGTCGGAACCGACTCGACGGCACTTAACAACAATAACAACAATGAATAATTAGACTCTTAATGTGGTGCTATAAGATAAACACTGGACTGCGAACCACAAGATTGGTGGTTCAAACCCACCAGCTGTTCCTCTCTATAACTCTATAACTCAGAACTGACTTGACGGCACTTAACAACAACAATGAATAATTTCAGTCCTGGTGTGGTACTATAGAATAAGCACTGAACTGCAAGTCAATTTGAATCTCAAGGTCAGCGGTTCAAACTCACTGGCTGTTCCTTGGAAACCCTGTTTTAGGTTGCTATGAGTCAGAACTGACTCAACAGCACTTAACCAGTAGCAACAATGAATAAATATAAAAATGGTATCTTGTCCTGGTGTGGCCTATAGGATAAGCACTGGACTACAAAGTCAGTTTAAACCACAAGGATGATGATTCAAACTCAAAACGCTGTACAAGGTCACTATGAGTTAGTTGAAACCGACTCGACAGAACTTAATAACAATAATGAATAATAATAGAGTGTAGTGACTATGTAAGGGTAATAATAGAGTGTAGTGACTAGACTGCATACAACAAGGTCAATACTTCAAGTCTACCAGTCATTCCTCAGGACAAATATGAGACTTTCTGTTCCCACAAAAATTTACAGCTTCAGAAACCCTATATAGGGTCGTTATGAGTCAGAACTGACTTGATGGCACTTAACAACAATGATGAATAATACTATTGAACATCTTTTCATGCACTAACTTACCATTCGTATATTTTCTTGGTGAAACATCTGATCAAATACTTGACTCATTTTTTAACTGAGTTTTTTGTCTTATTGTTGAGCTGTAAAAGTTTATTATGTATTCAGGATACAAATCCTTGATTAGATATATGTTTTACAAATATTTTCTCAACTTGTGGCTTGTCTCTTTATTTTCTGAAGGGTCTTTAAAAGAACAAAAGTTTTTCATTTTGATGAAGTGCAGCTTATTGTTTTCTAAGGTTCATGTTTTTGGGGTCCTAGTCTAAGAAATCTTTGCCCATCTCAAGTCCATAAAGATTTCTGTAATGTTTTCTTCTAGAAGTTTTATAGTTTTAGCTCTTAACATTTAAGACTATTATCCATTTTATTTTCACAAATTAAATTTTGCTGTTTTTTTTTCAAAAACATACAGATATTCAATTGTTTCATCACCTTTGGTTGAATATCTTCTTAGATTACCTTGACACGTTTTAAGAAAATCAGTTGACCTTATGTCTGTTGGTTCACTCCTGGACTTCATTCAGTTTATCCTTATGTTAATAGCATACTGTGTAAATTTTATAGTTAATTTTTAAAATAAGGTAGTGTAAGCCCTCTAATTTGTTTTTTCTTTTTTAAATGTGTATGGATATTCTGTATCCTTTGTGCTTTCATATGAATATTTAAATCAGCTGATCGTTTTTCTATTTTAAAAACAAACAACATAACAAGTACTGCTTGTTTTGATTGGGACTGCGTTGACTATCTATCCCAGTTTAAGGAGAATTGGCACATGAACAATACTGAACGTTTCAGTTCCTGAAAGTAGTATGCTGCTCCATTTATTGAGCTCATCATTAACTTTTCTCAGTAGCATTTTTGTAGTTTTGTATGTATGCATCTTGTACATATTTTGTTAAATTTATAATGAAATATTTTATGCTATTGTAGCTGGCATTATATTTCAATTTCCTGTAGCTCTTTCTTGTCATTTAGAATATAATTAATTTTTTGTACATTCACTTGGTTTCCTGCAACTTTGTTTAACTCATTCATTAGCAGCTTTTTGTAGATTTGTTAAGATTTTTCTATATAGATTTTTCTTCAAATAAGGTAATTTTCTGTTCTTTTAATATCTTGTTTTGTTTTAATGTCAGTCTAATGCCCTCATAAAATGAGTTAGGAAATGTTCTTTCCTTTCTTGTTTTCTCAAAAATTTCATGTAGAATTGTTATTTCTTCCTTAAATGTTTGATAGAATTTTCTACTGAAGCAGTAAAATTTTCTTTGTTAGAAGGTTTATAACCACAAATTAAATTTCTTTAAAATATATATAAGGCTATTAAAGGTATCTGTTACATCTTGAGTAGAATTTAAGATTTTATGTCTTTAAAGGAATTTGTCTATTTCATGTCCATTTTTTATTGGTGTAGTTATCCATGATATCCTTCTGTTATCCAATTTGATTTCTATAGGCTCTAGAATAATGGCCCTCTTTCATCCTTCATGTTGGTATTTCTGTGTCTTCCATCTTTTTGTTCCCTGATTTTTCTGGCTAGGGATTTATCAATTGTATTACGAACAACAGCTTTTGGTTTCATTGATTTTTCTATCTAGATATATTTTTCTGCTTATTTCCTTCCTTCAGTTTATTTTGTTCTTCCTTTTTCAGTATTTTCAGGTAGATACCTGTTTTCATTTGTTGCTGTCAAGTCAGTTTCAACTCAGTGACTTTGTTATTGTTGTTAAGTGCCATCCATTCAGTTCTGACTCATAGCAACCCTATATAGGATTTCCAAGGAGTAGCTGGTGGGTTGGACCACCATCCTTGTAGTTAGCAGTTCAGTGCTGATTCTACAGTGTTACACCAGGACTCCACAGTGATGTTAGATCATTGGTTTTAAACCTTTCTTCTTTTTCTAATACGTGCACTAAATGCTTTAATCAAAGCACTGTTGCACATATAACTCACAAATTTTGATATGTTCTGTTTTTAGTTTTTATTCAGTTCAAAAATATAATTTCCCTGCTAATGTCTTCTTTAACTAATGGGGTTTCTAGAAGCACATTGTTTAGTTTTCAGATATTTGAAATATTCTTGTTAACTTTTTGTTATTTGGCAGTGGTGATGGTTGTGTGCCATGAAGTTGGTTCCAACTCATAGCGACCCTGTACAGGGTTTCCAAGGAGCAGAAAACCTCATCTTTCTCTCGTGGAACAGCTGGTAGTTTCAAACTGCTGACCTTGAGATTAGCAGCACAACTCTTAACCATTATGGTACCAGAGCTCATTATTCTAGTTAAAAATTCCATTGTGGTTATAAAATATCTTTATGATTTTTATATGTTTTACTTTTACTGAGACTTTTTTATTGTCCAAAATGTGGTAAATATTCCATGGGCAGTGGAAATGAATGTGTATTCCATTGTTGTTGGATAGAGTGTTCTGTAAGTGTCTGGTCTAGTTTATTGATAACATTCTATATTCTTACTGGTTGTTTGTGTGTTTATTTTTTGTCTAATTGTTCTAACAAATACCAAAAGAAGAATACAAAAATACCTATAATTATTTCTCCTTTCCATTCTGTCAGTTTAGTATCGTATACTTTGATGCTCTGTTATTTTTACATAATATTTCAGATGGCTAATGTCCTTGATGAAGAAACTTTTCTATCATTATGAAATGACCCTTTTTATCTTTGGTAATACTTTTGCCTCTTAAATCTACTTTGTCTCACATTACTAACTTCTTCAACTTTCTTTTTGATTATGGTTGCCCGGTTTTTCCAATCTCTTATTTTTAATCTATGTCTTTATATTTAAAGTTTTTGTATGTATAAATAACATGTATTAATTTTCTGTTGCTGCCATAACAAATTACCATAAACTAGGTGGCTTTAAGCAGCACAAATTTATCACCTTACAGTTCTGTGGGTCAGAGATTCGACTTGGGTCTCAGTAGACTAAGATTTGAGTGTCAGCAGAACTCTTCCTTTCTGGAGGCTCGGGACAAATCCATATCTTGGCCTCTTCCATCACCCAGAGATCATACAAATTCATTGATTCATGGCCCCTTCCTCCATCTTTAAAACCAACAACATTGTATATCTCTGATAATTCTCCTATAGACACATCTTCCTCTGACCTCTTCTGCCCCTCTTAACCGCTTTTAATGACCCTTGTGACTACATTGGG